TATGTAGAGCAGCAGGTACGGTAGTGGGTCCTCAACAACGCCAGTGTGTGCCCGGCGGCGCTGTTCAGAGGGACCGGCGCTATATCAAAGTCACTTGGTTAGTCTGTAATCCACCCCGCAATTTTCACCCGCGCTGCACAGGGCCACCGGTGGGATTCAACCAGCGCTGTTGAGGGACCACTACTTGATGTAGTTGATATTATGGGAACCAGACAAATAGACTGAGGACGGAGTACTCCACGTCCGGTATCTGCTGCTGTACATACCGCCAATTCACGCCATAGTTTAGCGAGCGATGTGGGAGGCTTTTCGGATCATGTGAGATGAAACATCTATACTTGTAGAGTAGTGACTGCTGTAGTGGCACGAGTGTGTGGGAACTCGTTCATGACAACGAAACACCACAGAGGCAGCAACACACAAAATACAGAAGCAATCAGGCCACAGCAATGCCGACAGATCTTGGGGGGTCGAGCACGGAAACTTGTTGGTATCCAAGACGAGCAGCCAGCTCATCATCCAGGAGCTACAAGTTTACAGCATGTGTACCTAAATGATGTAGTAGTCAGGTCGGTCGGCGCCGAAAAGGTCCCACGATCAGTACGTAAGCATCGCAGACATCGATAAGGCATACCTGGTACATAATCGAGTATTTCTTAGTACTTCGATGTAAGAATGCTGCTCCGCGATGCATGGCTAAGCAGTACAACAAAGTACTTCTTTGGGAAGCGTCCACACAAGCAGTGAAATATTGCGGTGTTCGGGTGCTCGTGTACACTCTTCTCACCATGGCCTCAACATATCCACCAAAGTGCCGCTGTGACGGGTCCAGCGGGAGGATCAAATCAGCCATGACAGCACTGTGGAAAGCTCTGATGTTGCCCTCCCCCGTCTCCAAGCACAACACATGATTGACCGCACTGCCCGTGTGACATAGAGTTTCGAAGTCTCCTCAGGGGGTCTGCAGACATCAGAACAACCGGCCCGGTAAAGTTCCACACTGTCGATCCCCACCAGCACAAATATGCATGCAGTGCTGCACGAATGAAAAAAAAAAAGCAGGCTGAATAACGCTTCCAACGGGAAAGCAGTCCCTTGTGGAAACCCCTCTGATCAGGCGGCTCGCTTGGCAACAGACCTCCACACCTAGCACCGGCTCTTGAGGGCGAACGAGAGCATAAACTGTCCATTTTCAAAAGAGATATGTAAATATGATGCCAGGGCACCCCAGGGTATGTTTTATATGTCCAGTTGCGCACGGTAGGGTGAAAAAGTCGGACTTTAGCTAGAGCGTACCACCATGCAGCAGCTCCAAAATCAGGGAGCGAGCTTCACACGCGACCCGACCTCTGCGGGAGGTGGTTGTATTGCAGCCTAACTATGCTGCCGCCATATACCTAGGTTGTGTTTCCACCTAATGCAAAAGGTTTGAGACGGTTTAGTGCGGCAGGGGATAAGCATGGTGTGTCCAAAATTCAAATTTCAGGAGAGTCCACGCCTTGGGTCCGAACTCAGCCCTCTTGCACGTTGCGCATGTA